GTGCATCCGGCAAAGCAACCCACCCTTGGTTGTCAAGAACACCACATTTGTTGGGGCGCCTGGGTGGCTCAGTCAGTTAAGCGTCTGACTTCGGCTCAGGGAATGATCTCGGGGTTCGTGGGTTTGAGCCCTGTGTCGGGCTCTGCACTGACAGCTCAGAGCCTGGATCCTGCTTTAGATTTTGTGTCTCCCTCCCTCTCTCTGCCCCTCCCCTGCTTATACTCTGTCTCTCTCTCTCTCTCTCAGAAATAAACATTAAAAAAAATTTTTTTTAAACACTTTTGTTGTGGGGGTCTACAGAAATGAGTATTCTGAAACATCCCTCTGTAAGATACAGTGTGTGGTATCTACACCAGTGCTGTTGGCACTCGAGCAGGAGAATAAAGGACCGAGGAGATGGACGCGTGCGCTCGCTGCCTTGCTGACGTGGGGACCGTGTTGTTTGTTTCTGCAGATATAAGCAGAGGCGAGTCCTGCAAGGAGGACTGCACTTGTCCCGCCTGCTCGCTCCGGGCCCCCACCATAAGTGACTTACTCAATGATCAGGACTTACTAGACGTCATCAGGATAAAGCTGGATCCGTATCACCCGACAGTAAAAAACTGGAGGAATTTTGCAAGCAAATGGGGCATGCCCTATGACGAACTGTGTTTCCTGGAGCAGAGGCCTCAGAGCCCCACCTTGGAGTTCTTGCTCCGGAACAGTCAGAGGCCGGTGGGCCAGCTGATGGAGCTCTGCAGGCTCTACCACAGGGCCGACGTGGAGAAGGTCCTGCACAGGTGGGTGGATGAGGAGTGGCCCAAGAGGGGGCGTGGAGACCACCCCAGGAACTTCTAGACCTCTCCGCTTCCCGCTGGCCTCTTTGGACATTGAAACAGCCACAGGTTAAGGAGGAATGTGGATCTGTTCTTTCTTAAGGGTTTAGGATGAGGACACATGACAGTGGACATTGGTTTTCCCCAAAGCTGGTGGGTTTTTTTTGGAGGGGTAGGTTGTGTTTTGGTGGTGGATTTTTGTTTGTTTAGTTTTGCACATCTGTTTTAATTTAACATTTGAACCTGGAATTGGGAAAAATACTTTGTAGACTCACATAGGGACCAGGGCCAAAGACTACAATCAGAATGGACTCATGCCATGATGAAAATAAAATTATCCTCTCCCTTAAATACTGTGGAAGATTGAAATAAGAACTAAGATTGTTGATGGCCCCAGTTGATCATCATCCATAGGATCCTTCATGCTGGACGGGACGCCCACAGCTTAGAAGAAACATAAGGGACATTAAAACCTTGGTTTGCGAGTATAATTCGTGCCGGAAACATGCTTGTAATCCAAAGCACTTGTCTGTCAAAGCGAATTTCAAGAACCATTGGCTCAGTTGTGACCATGTGACATTCAGCGTCACGTACGACTCGTATGGCAAGACATCGCTCGTTTATCGAGTTAAAATTTATTAGAAGCGTTTGCTCGTCTTGCAGTACACTAGCAGAACGAGTTACTCGCAATCCAAGGTTTTACTGTACTTAGGTGAAGTAGCAGGATATTGGTATTATGGGGCCATGCCTTCAGACCACACGTGCCATCTTTTTTATTCAAATGCTTTTGTCATCCGTGCACTGTCAAAAATGTCATCTGCTCAAGTATTTTTGCAAGAAATAAAAAATAGTGGTTTGGGGAGGAAAGAGTCAGGAATCAGGAGGGAGAATAAGGACCTTAGGAAAGTGTTTCACAAAGAGAGTACACAGAATGCCCTTTGTTACCCAAGACTTTTTAAAAATTAACTTAATATGTACTTTTCCATCTTTTGTGTAAGGCTGAGTGTTTTCACCCATGAGATCAAGCTTCGTTAAGAAACAAAACTCACCAGGCCCAACGTTGGAATGTAACCACTTCTAGTACCTACTGTCCCAGCTGGATACAGGGTCACGAACAAACACTACACAGAGGTTTAGCCAAGAATGGGGAATCTTTCACGCTGACGCTGGGGCAGGAGATCGGCATTAAAATCCAACTTTTAAAAGATTTCAAACCGAATGAAAAATCGGTTCCAAAGAATATCTGATGTTCTTAGATGGTTTTAGGGGGAGGTGAAGTGTGGTTGATGGAAGGGTTTGCTGCTGGAAAGATGGGAGGAAAAAGCCCTTTCC